CCCTGGCTGACAGAGTAAGATGCATAAAAGCCTACAAAATAGCCATGATTCTGCACCAGCAGCAAGGTACCCCACTGAGAAAATGGATATTGGCAACCATGACATAAGATCCAACTCTCTTCATGGACTACTCCTGGATTTGTTCTTTTTCCACTGCTGAACAGAAGCTATACACAAATAACCCGCACATAGAAGAGAGGAGCTTACGGCGACGTTTCGGTCCTACTTGGACCATTTACAAATGGTCCAAGTAAGCTCCTTTCTTCTATGTGCGGGTTATTTGTGTATCGTTCCAGTCACGGTATTGTGCCTTCTTTTGTTATTTATGAACGGAAGCTGCTGCCTATACAACTACTCCTTGAGAAGAGTTGTGACCTTCCTGTTGCTGGGTATCATCCACCACCTCCCTGGTGCCCAGATCCGGCTGATGCTTGCACCATGCAGCTACCTGCCTCTAAGCGTCTCTGCAGTCAAGACACCCTCAGCAATCATGCTGAGACAAGCATGGCACTGACAGAGGGACGCACATGTGCAGTATATTTCACAGATGGTTCTGTCAACCCTGACAGGAAGAGAGCAGCAGCTGGCATGTACCACAATGGTCACACACAAGTCTGGCAACTCCCTGACCACTGCACGATCCTTTAAGCTGAGCTGGTGGCGATTCAGCAGGCATTATCACATGCCCTACAACATTGGCTTCGACCTGTCGTACATGTTGACTCCACCTCTGCAATCAATGCACTTTCCCATCCCCAACCACAGGACAATGTTCACCTCATCACATCAATTCTGAGCATAATGACATCCTTAAAAGTTCAGGGTAACAGATCGACACTGAACTGGATCCCCAGCCATGCTGGCATCTGGGGAAATGAGGCAGCAGATGATGCGGCCAAGGCAGCCACAGATTATCCGTATGTTGGGATTACCATTCCCATCAGCCTATGCCAGACCAAACTGGTGGCTGCCAGAGCAATGAAACTTATGGGGGAGGTCCTAGGTGATGCCCCCATCTCAACAGTGGTACTAAGCAGCGACTAAGGGAGAGCCCCCTCCATATGACAGAAGCTGGTCCAGAGCACAGTGTACCAACATCCATTGGCTTTGTTTGGGCTTTCTCACAGCCAAGATGATGGTAGACAAGGCAGAGGAGATGTGCCAGCATTGCCAGCACCCCCTAACACACTATCTCCTGGAGTGCCAAGTTACTGAGACACTGCAGGCAACTAGCACTGATGTCCCCCTCCCGAAGAAGACCCAGAGAGGACTGCGGCTACCCTAGTGTACCATGGAGTCAACACTTCAGACAAGCTTTTACCCGTGATAGCGACATATCCTCCTCACTAGTGTCTACAGTCAGCTCTGAATTTTTCCTAGCTCATTAATGTGGGCTTTTATTTGTTTGAAAGCTATATGACAATTACTAGGCAGACTGAACTTTATTTAATTGCCTTGATATCTAACCCAGTACTGACCACTTTTATACTTAAGAGGTGTCAAGTTATTGGATTTATATCTTGGTCTCTAGAGTGCTCAATTTGTTTACGTCAATGCTTGTGTTACGTTCCACAACAGTACAGTGGACCCCCGCCTTACGAACGCATCGCGTTATGTTAAATCCGCCATACGAAGCATTTCAACGCAAAAATTTTGCCTCACGATAAAAAACTCACCTTATGTGATTCATCCAGGATGCATCCCACGTGTGGCCTCAGCGCCAGTGTTTACAAGCCAGCCAGTGCGGTCGCATCTACACATACATTCGGTACATTTCACATTATCCCAGTGTTTTTAGTACTAAGCTTGTAACTGCAAAATAAGTCACCATGGACCCCAAGAAAGCTTCTAGTGCCATCCCTGTGGTAAAAAGGGCAAGAATTAGTATGGAATTGAAAAAAGAGATTAAGGAAATGTGTGCAAAGTGGGTTGAACTGCAAACCTTTACGGATGAAAACCACCCTGACACAGCTACTGCAAGCCGTGTTGGCAACCTGTACAATGACAATGTTATGGCCCATTTTAGGAAAGTCTTAAAGGAACGGGAGGTACAGAGCTCTATGGACAGATTTGTTGTGTGACAGAGGTCCAGTGACTCTCAAGCTGGTCCTAGTGGCATTAAAAGAAGAAGGGAAGTAACCCCGGAAAAAGACTTCCTACCTCAAGTCCTAATGGAAGGGGATTCCCCTTCTAAACAATAACTTCCACACTCTCCCCTCCTCCCATCCCATCAATCATCACCAGATCTTCAATAAAGGTAAGTGTCATGTATTCTATTCTTAGTAGAGTAGTAATTGTGCATGTCTTCTTCAGTTTGTGTGTATTAAAATTAATATTTCATGTGGTAAAAAAAATTTTTTTTTCATACTTTGGGGTGTCAGGAACGGATTAATTTGATTTCCATTATTTCTTATGGGGAAAATTAATTCAGTTAACAATAATTTCGGCTTACGATGACCTCTCAGGAACATATTAATATCGTAAGGTGGGGGTCCACTGTAATGGTAATTTTTAACAATGGTAATTTTCGCTGTTGAACATGATCTAAAGTAGCTTTTGTCACCAGCACATTTTCTTCTGCTCTGCCCTTAGGGTTAAGAATAGAATGCCATGTCCACCTGGATTTCCCAGTAAGAAAAGGTCATTCTCATTAAACAGTTTTGCACAAAACTTGTAATAATTACTGCTTATACAGTGGATCCTCAAATTTCAAACATATCGCTTATCGAACTCTTCAAAAATAGAACCCTTTTTTCGAAGCAACTTTGTCCCTATTATCGAACTCGCCCCTATTTTTGAACCAATGGGTACTGGACCTGTCCGGCAGCCTGCTCTGTCTGCGTCCCCACGCAGGCACCATGAGCCAGTCTGGTTTTGTTGATGCTTGAATGCACACTAACCTGTGCTCTCATTCAAACATTTTATGATTATTTCATTGTGCTTAGTGCTTGTGGGACTGTGAAATAAGCTACAATGGGCCCAAAGAAATTTGCTAGTGGTACCCCTGTGGTAAAGAAAGTGAGAAACACCATAGATGTGAAGAAGGAAATAATACAGAAGTGGAATGATGTCCAAATGTTTGTCAAGAAGTACCACCCTGAGCAAGCTGAAACAAGCCATCTTTGCAACAAGTTCAGTGACAGAACCATGTCCCATTTTAGGGAAATCTTAAAGAGGCACCAGAAACAGAGGACTGTGGACAGTTATTTTGTGAGACAGGGGTCCAGTGACTCTCAAGCTGGTCCTAGTGACATTAAAAGACAGAGAAGGGAAGTAACCCCAGAGAGGGCTTTGATACTTGAAGTCCTCATGGAGGGATATTCTCCTTCCAAACACTAACCCCAACTCCCTCTCTCCTCCTCCCTATCTTCCAGATGCCATCACCAATCTTCAATAAAGGTAAGTAAAATGTTATTTTGTTTATTTAAATTTATTAATACATAATTGAACACTATGTTTGTTGTGTGTATGTATAACTATAATTAATCTCTATAAAATGTAATTTTTTTTGTGAATATTTTTGGGTTTCTGGAACGGATTAATTGTATTTCCATTATTTCTTATGGGAAATATTGCTTTGTTTTTCAGACTTTTCGAATTTAGAACTAATTACTGGAACGGATTATGTTCGATATTTGAGGTTCCACTGTAATAAGATCTAGAGAAGTAAATCTGTCCATTTGTATGTCTGGACAGGTCAGTTACACTTTCAGTCCTATTATATATGTTTGTTAGTTTGCATGTCCAGTACCACAGCTCTGTCTTTCTTTTATTCAGAAGACGGTAAATTTAGCTGGGTCGTGAATTAGGTTACCATAACATTCGAAGAACCCAGCTGTTAAGATGTATTTTGAAGAAACACTTATGCAACATTTGGGAATCTTGAATCTTTTTTGAGGAAACGTTTTGCCAGCTAGTGGCTTCTTCAGTCCAATACAGAAAAGAACAGTGGAAAATGAGGAGTTTGAGGTTATTAGTCCCACAGCCTGAAGGGCTACTTCCGCCCTCCCTTCGTGCATAAGGAGGGGGGATTACCAACAAACCTCTGGCTGTCTTCAAGAGAGAATGCGATAGATTCCTCAAAAACAGTTCCTGATCAGCTGGGCTGTGGTGTACATATTGGGCACTGGGCACTAACAGCTTGATCAGCCAGGAGACCTGATCTATGACTGGGCCTATTTTTTGAGGGAATGCCCACTGTTTTGGAAATTTTATTAGACATGTTTGGGATGTGAGTGTTGAATTTTAGCTTGCTGTTCAGGAGTATTTCAAAGAATTTACCCTCATCCTGCATATTAATCAATGTATTTTTTATCTTATATGTTAAAAAGAACATCCTTTGCTTTATTCCCAAATATTATATAGAAGGTCTTTTCAATACCGAGAGTGAGTTTGTTAGTTATGACCTAAGTAGATATTTTAGAGAGTTCAGCAGTGACTGTGAAGCCCTTGGAAGGTCAGTGATGTAAATTAGGAATAACAGAGGGCCCAGGACATTACCATTTAAAAGGCCTTTCCCATAAGACAATGGACTTTCCCATACTCTCACAGCAAGACAGAGTGGGGAAAGAACCTGGTGTATGCCACATTTTTTCCTACATATACTCTGCAATGTAAGCTTATTAATAGTGTGTGTTTACCAAAAATATGCCACAGTGTTGCAACCATGTTAACAGATCGTATGTTAACTGACAGTCTAATGTATGTTTACTAATTTTATAGCTTACCATATGAATAGTGTATGCTTGAATTAAAGTTTCATAAAAACATGGCTGAAAACAAGTGAAAACCCACTTGGACAGAAATACATATTTATATGATAAATCTGTATATTTTGGCTTCAGTTAGGTCTGCTAAAGAGGGTCTTCTACTGAGGCTGAAATATGCTACTCTATCTTACCTGTATTTCACATTTCTATTCAAGTTGGCCCTCGATTTGCATTAGTCTATCTATAAAATTATGATACATTTGTATAACATATATTTTTTTTTCTTTGCAGAGTGATTTCCTGTTTGATTTTTGTGACAGTGGTATAATGGACTGTGGCAAAGGTGGGGGTGTACCCATTCCTAGAGGCCCAGGAAACAGACCCACACAGGCTCACCACTTCCCAGATCTCTCCACGATGACCCTTCAATTGGATGACCACAGTCCAGTCCCAAGCCAGCAGTCAGGCACTATCTTGGGCCCTCAGTGGGACAGCAACATTAATTTTTCCACTCCACTATATCAAGACAATAGAGGTCTTTCCCCAATTGGGCCAAACTCTCCATCCTTGTGGCCACCACAGTCAATGGACCTGGACCTCGACATGAAACTAGAGGATCTGGATATCAAACTGGAGCCATTAGATGATTTGCTTGGTGTTGATGATTTTCTACCAGGTCACACACTTGGCCTAAACTCAACAGATGATGCTCTACTTGATGACGTGAATTTTGACGATTTTCTCATGCCTGAACAGTTTTCCAGTTCAGGATTGGAACAACCAAATTCACCCCTCACTATGGTAACAGTACATCCTGATGATGTAATGGGTGACAAGGGATATTTCACACCAACATTCTCCAGTTCTCAATATATATCTTCAGTAACCCAGCCAGTTAAAGCAGAGAGTACATCATTGTTCTCTTTGCTTGCTTCATCGTTTCCTCCTCAGGGTGGTGGTTGGCGTGACCCACTTCTTACATCATCATCTGTTCCAGGTCAGCAGGTCAGCAGCCAGCTAGGAAGCATAGAAGAATGCCCAGGATCCAACCAACAACAGAATGTGTCTCAGCAACCTCATAGTTTGAATACATCATCAAATTCTACATCAGCTCTTCAGGAATTACTTTTGCGTTCACCTTCCACCCCACTATCTCCCCACAGCGTATCTTCCCAACAGGGTGTACCATCACCCCAAGAACCTTCCTTGGGTCAGTCCGTTCCACGGCCTACTTCACTTTCAGCTGCCAATCCTCTGCTTTCTGCTCGGCTTTCATCTTCAGCACCATCTCGTAACTTTTCTTTAGAACAAGCATGGCAAAGAAGAGAGCCAAGACAACATCTCTTGTCAACTGGGTCTTTGGCAGAGGAATTTGGTGGTTCTGCATCATCTCTCAGTACAGGTAGGAATACTGTACCTCATTTGCTTATCATAAATTTTCCAGTAAAGGCTATTTCAGAGGAGAATTAATGTGCTGCTCTTTACACAGTACTGTATACCAATGGTTGTGTGTTTCTTTAATGGGTTAATATGCACTTACTGTACAGTAATAAGTAATGTATTTATTAATTAAAAGCATCCTAACTCGGTAATGCAAAATGCTTCTGATCAGTCAGATTTAATTGTATCTCAACTCAAACCATATAAAATAACCTAATTTAATTTAAAAAAAAAACTACAGGTGTCCTTTGTTTTATGCTGCAAATGTGTTCCAATTCTAAGTTCAGTCACCATATGCAGTTGCATATGCAATTGAATATGGTAAATGTACTGTATCACATACAGTATATAGAGGAACTAGGAGAAATGGGACAACCCATAACAGTTAATTTGAATAAAGTGAATCCACAGAAAGTAAGAGAAGCCTGTACAGCACTTGCCACAGATAAAATTTTGCATATGCTGTGCTGTATAGCATACTGAATATCTTAAATATCCTTAGGATACAGTAGATTGTACCTCAGTAGTAAGCCTGTTGTTGCCTAGGGAAGTCGTGCATACAAGATCTCCATATTTACTATAATTTTCTGGTACAAATAAGTCACTATAGTATAATAATTTGAAAAGCTTATAAAGAATAAATAAGACAATACTGTGACTGGAGCAATACAAAAATAATACGCACATTGGAGACGATTCATGACGACGTTTCGGTCACACGGAGAAACGCGAAGGGAAGGGAACCAGAATATAAACAAGAGTGGGGCAGAGAATGGGAGTGGTACAACAGGAAGGAGTAATAAAGTAGCAGTAGTAGTGCTAGTAAGTAGTAGTACAATAGTGACAGGTGGCAATAAGGTGTAGTAGTGGTAGTGAAAAAAAGGGAGGCAGAGAGTGAAGTGTTAGTGAAGAAAGTAATAAGAACACAAGAAAAAAGGAACACTGCAGCAGGCCTACTGACCCATGCGAGGCAGGTCCAAGTCTCCTACCGGCTTAAGCCAATGCACCCAACCTAGTCAGGTCAGGTCACATTCACTTAAGGAAGGAACACAGCAACTGACCCAGTAGCACAAGCTAATCAGGTCCAACTCACACCCACTCATGTATTTATCTAACCTATTTTTAAAACTACACAACATTTTAGCCTCTACAACTGTACTCAGGAGTTTGTTCCACTCATCCACAACTCTATTATCAAACCAGTGCTTTCCTATATCCTTCCTGAATCTGAATTTTTCCAACTTAAAACCATTGCTGTGAGTCTTGTCTAGGCTAGATATTTTCAGCACGCTATTTACATCCCCTTTATTTATTCCTGTCTTCCATTTATACACCTCAATCATATCCCCCCTAATTCTACACCTTTCTAGAGAGTGCAAATTCAGGACCCTCAGTCTGTCCTCATAGGGAAGGTTTCTGATACATGGGATCAACTTAGTCATCCTCCTTTGTACGTTTTCCAGAGCATTTATATCCATTCTGTAATACGGTGACCAAAACTGCAGCATAATCTAAATGAGGCCTAACCAAGGATATATAGAGTTGAAGAACAACCTGAGGACTCCTATTATTTATGCTTCTTGATATGAAGCCAAGGATTCTGTTAGCTTTATTGCGAACACTTATGTACTGCTGTCTTCGTTTCAGATTGCTGCTAACCAGAACTCCTAAATCTTTTTTGCAATCCATAATATTAAGATCTACATTATTTAGTTTATATGTGTGGCATGGTTATTGTCCTGTCCAACATTTAGAACTTTGCATATGTCTATATTAAACTGCATCTGCCACTTCTCCGACCACTGCATCAGTGTATTCAAATCTTCCTAGGTATTTTCATTGATTTACGTAAAGCTTTCAATACAGTCGACCATGAACTGCTGTACTCCAAATTAGCACACTATGGTATAAGAGGCCACTCCCTCAACTACCTAAAATCATACCTTAGTAACAGAACTCAATATGTGTATGCAAATGATGCAAACTCTTCCACCCAACCAATCACAATAGGAGTCCCACAAGGAAGCATTCTTGGACCACTCCTCTTTCTCATCTACATCAATGATCTATCGAATGCATCACAGCTACTCAAACCCATATTATTTGCATATGACACTACATACGTCTTTTCCCACCCAAACACAGTCATACTAGCAAACACAGTCAATGCCGAATTGCAGAAAATATCTGCCTGGATGAGGACTAATAAACTTACCATGAATACTGATAAAACCTATTTCATTCAGTTTGGAAACAAAGCTGCAAATGATCCAATTAACATAACGCTAAACGGATCATCAGTCACAAGACTTAGAGGGAAAATTCCTAGGTATCCACCTTGACAGTAGCCTTAAGTTCCAGACACATATACAACAAATCACCAAGAAAATATCCAAGACTGTAGGCATACTATCAAAGATAAGGTACTACGTTCCACAATCAGCTCTCCTGGCACTGTACCATACACTCATATACCCTTATCTTACATATGGAATTTGTGCATGGGGATCAACAACATCCAATCACCTAAAACCCCTCATAACCAAGCAAAAGGCAGCAGTAAGAATGATAATGAATTCCCATTCCCGCCAGCATACTCCACCAATTTTCAAAAGTCGGAATTTGCTCACCATTAAGAACATCCATACTTATTCATGTGCCTACTACATACATAAAACAATACACACAAATATAAACCCTCCACTCAAACTTCTCACCAACTTAAATAGGGCACATGACCACAACACAAGACACAGATCTCTTTTTGATATACCTTGTGTCCATATCACACTGTGTAAAAACTCTATGTACATAAAGGGCCCTAAAATATGGAATTCATTACCAGAATATATTAAAGTAACCCAGTCTGAAAATCAGTTTAAGACTCTTCTCAAAAGCCACTTAATCACCTTAGACTAAATGCTAAATACTCAGTACACACACACTCACCTATGTACTCCCACATCATAACTTCAACAATCACTTTGAACCTTTTATCCATTGTTGACAGGAATATAATTGAACCATTGTTTTCACAAAAAGCATTTTAGGCTATATGAATATATCCTTTGTCTTATACAAATTTAATTCACTTATAATTAATAATCTACTGTTCAACTATGAAATAATTACTGTCCTACTGTACAACTATGATAAAATCCTTAGTGTTAAGTAGTCTGTAAGCCAATAATGTTAAGTTGGCCCGTAATGCCTAGGCAAAATAGAGGCTCTCTTTGCATTGCAACCCACTATTGTAAATACAAAATCTCAATGTGCTGTTTGCAAAGACATAAAATAAAATAAAATAAAATAAAATAAAATAAATAAATAATGTCCTCGTCGGAATGAATTCGACAGCCTATTTTGGTGTCATCAGCAAACTTGCTCATGTTGCTCTTTATGCCCTCATCTATGTCGTTTATGTAGAGTGTGAACAACAGGGGGTCCAACACTGACCCCTGTGGAACACCACTCATGATGCTTACCCACTCTGATTTCTCCCCATTTATTCAAACTCTCTGCTGCCTATTTGTCAACCATGCCTCTATCCAGGAAAAAAATTCTCCTCCTATTCCATGTGCCTTAATTTTCCTCAATAGTCTCTGATGTGGAGCCCTGTCAAAAGCCTTACTGAAGTTCATATACACAATATCATATTCATTACCATGATCTACCTCCTCACATACCTTAGTGAAAAAAGTTAATAAATTCATAAGGCAGGAACGCCCATTTGTAAAACCATGCTGAGATTCATTAATTTATGCTTTTCAAGGTGGCTACAAACTGCCTCGGCAATATTGATTCCATAATTTTCCCACTATGGAGATTAGGCTTATTGGTCTATAGTTCGAAGCTAAGGACCTGTCACCTGCTTTGAAAATAGGTATCACATTTGCCATTTTCCACTTATCTGGCACCATGCCAGTTTGTAGTGATATGTTGAAAAGATTAGCCAAAGGTTTGCTAACCTCCTCTTTACATTCCTTCAGAACCCTTGCATACAGTTCATCAGGGCCTGGGGATTTGCCTAAGGACCATGTCACTTGTAACCCTAATCGTGCATAGTCTATTATCGTCCTGTTCTACTAGCGATATTCCAGAAATAATAAATTATTTCTGGAATATCACTAGTATCTTCCTGTGTAAAAACTGAGAGGAAGTATGTGTTAAAAATTCTACACATTTCCTTATCACTATGTAATAATAGTAGTAGTGCTGGTGGTAAAAGTGGATGTACTCTATAGATGCCTTCCTTTCTCCAGTCTTCAGAACACTCATGACTTGACCTGATCTTTATCTCCACCTCTCCCTACCTCTTCATGTTTAATATATTTTCTCTGCCTTCCTGTCTTCTGCCTAGGTGGGTTCTGTTTTATGGGGGTTTTGTTCGACAGGAATTTTGCCCTAACCCCATGGGCCATTAGCCCTCCTGCAGTGTTCTGCTGTTCTCTTGCTCAAGGAAAAGTTTCAGAGAAGGGTTTAAATTAGAATTTAATACTTCTGTATATAGAGTAGGCACAGTAGTATGTGTGTATTTTGTATATTAAGTAAATTCAAGCTTTTGAAGAGTGGGGGAGTGTGTTGTCTGGCACTGGAATGGGTGATAGTCTGCACATTGGCCTTTTGTTAGGTTATTAATGGTGTTAAGTGATTTGGTGTAGTAGATCCCCAGGCACAAATACCATAGGTTAGGTAAGGGTAGATTAGAGAGCATTCAGGCTCAGTGATGAGGCATTGGTGAATAATTTTACTGTAGCAATTGGTAACATCCACATATTCCTACAGAAAAGTTAAGCTTCTACAGTAAACATTGTCCTTTACAAACCAAGCAGTTCACAACAAAGACTAAACAGCCCATTCCACATACATACATACATACATACATGCAGGCATGCATACATGCGCGTGCACACGCACGCACACACGCACACACACACACACGTGTGCACACATGCGCACACA